AGGAATCGATAGAGAGCAACACACACACACAGAGAGAGAGAGAGAGAGAGAGAGAGAGAGAGAAAGACAGAAAGGGAAAGAGAAAAAATGGCAGAAAGCGAAAAAGAGAGAGAGACGGACATAGAGGGATAGATAGAGACTAACACACACACACACACACACACACACACACGCACGCACGCACGCACGCACGCACGCACGCACACACACACACACACACACACAGAGAGAGAGAGAGAGAGAGAGAGAGAGGGAGAGAAAGAGAGAAAAGCGAAGACAGAGAGAAACCGAGAGAGAGAGAGAGAGAGAAATGAAGAAAAGCAGAGACAGAGAGAAACCGAAAGAGAGAGAGAGAGAGAGAGAGAAATTGAGAAAGACAGAGACAGAGGGAAACCAAGAGAGAGAGATAGACAGAGAGATAAAGAGAAAGAGAAATGGAGAAAAACAGAGAGAGAAACCGAGTGAGAGGGAGAGATTAAGAAAAATTGAGAGAGACATCGAGAGAGAGGGAGGGAGAGAGAGAGAAATGGAGAAAAGCAGAGACACAGAAAAGAACCGAGAGAGAAAAAAGATAGAGACAGAGAGAAAGAAAGAGAGATAATTGGAGAGAGAGAGAGAGAGAGAGAGACAGAGAGAAAAAGAGGGAGAGAATGTGAGAGGGAGGAACAGAGAGTGAAAAAGAGACTAGCGGAGAGAGAGAGAGAGAGAGAGAGAGACAGGGAGATATGTTAAATTAACCGCACCGCGATTTAATTTATGGATACATAGATGCTAATTTGTATTGACAGGTGGCATCGTTATCCACTTATCGATAGTAATCGGTCCCGGTGTAATCAATCTCGCCAACAAAAGGCAGCAAGTGGATCAGAAAAAGGAACAGGCGGAGAGGACAGAGGAAATCAATGAGAGACAGGAAAAGTGGAAAAAGAAAAAGGAAAGACAGAGAGAGAGAGAGAGAAAGGAAGATTCAGAAAGGAGGAGAAAGAAAGAATGATACAGACTGATAGACGGAAACAGAGCAGAGTGAGAAGAAAGTGAGGGAGGAAGGAAACAGAAAGAGAGGGACAAAAGAGGAATTCGGAGAGAATATGAAAGAACGAAAACGTAAGATAATGGAGAGAAAGAAAAATAGAGAGAAAGAGAGAATGATTGTAGAAGGAAGATTAAGTGCAAGAAAGAGAGAAGTAGAGAAAGAAAGAGAGAGAGAGAGGAAAAAGACAGAAAGAGGAACAGAGAAAGAAAGAAAGAGAGAGAAAAATAGACTGCGAGAGGGAGACTGAAAAAGTGAAGAGAGTGTGTGAAAGAAGTGGGAAACGACGAAGACAGAATGTGAAAGAGAAAGAGAAAAAGAAAGACAGAGAAAATAGGAGAGAATGAAGGAAGGCAGACTGACGAGAAGAAAAAATATAGAAAAAAGAGAGAGAGAGAGAGGGGGGAATAATGGAAAGGGAAAGTCTGAGAGAGAGGAAGATTGAGACATGGAGAGAGAAGCTGAGACTGAGAAAGAGGGAGACAGAGAGAGAGAGAAAGAGAGAGAGAGAGAGAGAAGAAAACAGACTGAGTCTGAGAGAGGTTAAGAGGGAGAGAGAAGGAAAGAGAGACTGAGAAAGAGTGAGAGAGAAAGAGAGAGGGACTGATAGAGAGGAGGACTGAGACTGAAAAAGAAGAGGACTGAGACTGAAAAAGAGGAGGACTGAAACTGAAAAAGAGAAAGACTGAGACAGACAGACAGAGAGAGAGAGTAGGAGAGAGGGGGAGGGAGTATGACAGAAGATCTAAGAGAGAAAGAGAGGAAGACTGAGAAAGAGAGAGACTGAGGGAAAGAGAGAGAGAGAGAGAGAGAGAGAATGAGATAAAGAGTATGAAAAAGAGAGAGAGAGTGAGATAAAGAGAGGGAATGAGAGTGAGATAAAGAGAGAGAGAGAGAGAAAATATGAGAGAGGAAATATGAGGGAGCAAGGATACAGAAGAGAAACCGATCGGATGAAGCGATAGAGAGAGTGGTAGTGGAAGCATTCCGTCGTCGGAATTTCCTCGATTTCATTAAGCCCTCCCTCGTTACGCTAATGGATCCCCTAGGTTAAGTCTTGGATCCCGTGGAAGTCGAGGCTCCCATTTTCGTCCCACCGCTCATATTTCTCTCCTCGCGCGCGCACGGTCGGCGATTTACGCTTAGGGGATTCCGTAAAACGCTTCTCCCGGCAACTCGGCTCGCTTTTCACCAATCAAAGATCCGAAACTTGCGCACTCCGGCTCCAGATTTTCTCAACTCCTTCACGTTTTATTCCATGACAATTGTTCTTTGTAAACATCGAGTCCCATCATTGATCGAGTCTCTTTCGAGTCGATTTTTGTTTAGTAATTTTTGTGCCACAGAAAAATACATAGTTTCCGTAATTACAATACTTGAGACAAGATAGGATTATTTAAACAAAATTAAGTGCTCTTGATTTTGCGTAAAGATTTTTTTAGCTAACTTAGGTTATGATTTTAAGGGATAATGAAATTGATATGATTTCTCATCTGAAAGAATCTACTAAAAGCATGCAACGTTCCTAAGAAGTTAATCGCAAATTTATGCAATTGAAAATATCGTTCGAATTTCGTTAAAAATAATTACCACTGGAAATTCCTTAGAGATTTGTTTATAATCATTAATTTTACATGTAGATCGAAATACGTTTTGCTGAAGAAACCGTGCTAATTTAAGCTCAAGTGGTATAGTGGGGTCACTCATGACCCCAACATGGTGAATTAATTTTATTTTCTAACGAATGCATAATTTTCCAACTTTTTATTATTCCATCAACCAGCTCAACACAAATTGAATTAACAAATATATTTTTACAGTTTTCATTAAGGGTCTATCGTGACCCAATATTCCAGTGATTTTTATCAATTCCCACGTTACGACCATGTCGTTGTCGAGCAAGGACAGTTCCAGCGACGCCGCCATTTGCAGAAGCTACGTTCGAGTACGGCTGTCCCGTCGAATTCTTTACGGGCAGCAGCACCCGAGTAAAGTTTTATCGAGGACCGCGTGCTTCTTGATTACATCCGCGTTATCAAACTTCCTCCCCGTGTACGCGGTCGTACCCGTCCCGATTCACATTCTCGAGCATAGTCGGCCATGAATAATATAACAATCTTACGGCAACGTCTACTAAATAAAGCCTCGGAGAAGTGGCCAATTACTCCGTCCAATGGTACACGCGGCACGAGTTTCCCCGTGGAACGAGAACATTTCCTTTCTGAAACGGCCGCACGTGCCCAACTTGTCCCTGCAGGCCGCTTTAACGTCCCTACAAATTGCTGCACTAGCCTCTTGGATTGAAATTGTTCGCGAGATTAGTGAACCGGACCGACTTCCCAGGTATGCTACTCACTTTTTGACGAGACTATGCACGGTGATAGAGCTCGTAAAACTGAATCCAATGATACCTGGTTTTGTGTGTACGCGGCTTATAGTTTCTGAGATATTCAATGTTAAAGTTGTTAGTAACGGAGCGCCGTGGCAACGTCCGGCGGAGTGGGGAGGCAGTGATGCCAGAGGAGCGCTCGCGAGTGATGGAGTGGGGGTAAGACTCACGCGCTTCAATTCCTAACGTGCCCTCTCTACCATTCCCCCACCACTTGCGAGCACTGCCTGAACGCGACTCGGCGCGGCGGCTCGTCTTTCTAGCTTTGTTATTAACAACTTTAACATTAAATATCTCAAAAACTATAAGCCGTCTGCAACCAAATTCGGGTATCATTAGGTTCAGTTTCACGAGCTCTACCTCCGTGCAAAATCTCATCAAAAAGTAAGTGTCACGCCTAGGAATCTCTCCTTGTAACCTCGGCTTTCCGTTCCATTCGGATCTCAATGGAATTGTCAACCGACTGTGCCAGCCGCCTCCTTGTCTCTTTATATTGACAGAAACATCTATACTCTGTCCCATTTTATTTCGACTACAGTATCCATTGTCTTTAATTAAATTGTTTTACAGTATGAAAACAGTTTGCTGGTAAACATTATTTCGATTCTGCTATTTTATTGTTACTTAATGTAGTTTCGTTTCTGTTAATTATCGTTGCCAAATATTGTTTTGTTTCTGTTATTTCATCGTTACTAAATATCGTATCGAGTCTGTCGTAGTGCTATATAGGGTGACTCACGTAAGTTGCATACCTCAAATAATTATTTAAATCAAATCACTTGAAATCGTTTAGAAGTCGATCTTGAAAACTTAAACATCTCTGATTATATAAGAAAATTAATATTTAATAACTTCTCTTGTGAAAAGTATAATTTAAAAGTTATTCGAGTTGTGCAAGTCAAGTGACCCACCCTGTATAAAGAAAACAATAAGTTTGCTTCAGTTGGAGATTTCTCTTTCAAAACGATTACCTCTCTAAGTCGATCATTTCTGTTTCCTTACACGATGTTAAACAAATACATACTTCACGAAATTTTCGACATAACCTAACATCTCTTTCTTACAAATATTATTCTTATGTAAAAAGCTCCATGTAAGAAGCTCCATGCGAAATTAGAGCCATATAGACACATGGAAACTTTCAAGGTTAAAGTATTATTTTCGAAAAATTCTGCTCGCGAACGTTGTTTCTATAAATGCATATAAAAACGTTTCAAACGTTGCTGAATTTTGCTTATGTTTACCTGTAGCATAAAATGCTTTGTTAATTTTGGGAAAATGCCCGATTAAAAATCGAGACACAAATTGTACAGATTCTCGAAAAAAGTGTATTCATTTGAAAATGATCAGAATGAAATTATTTTCGAATATTCGGTCGTTGCAGACTCGTTTTAATAGTTTCGTAATAAATAATCGATCGTGCATTATTCGCACAAACTAAATACCTACCGAAACTCCGTCGAACGGCGAAGTTCCGTGAACGTGAACGCGCGTAAGACTGAAGCGTGTTCCGTGGCGGACGCGATTACACACCGATGGCCGAGTTTACCCTCTGACACAAAGCTCCGGCGATTGTTTCAGCTGAAGGGCTACAAGGTCACCGACGTGAGCCGCACGAGGAAGTTCGGCGTGGCCTGCAGGAGCCTGCAGGAGTTGAAGCGGAAAGCGTGCGCCAAGCTGAACGTGAGTGTAACATCAATATCTAGCAATCGATACCGTCTCAAAGCCTCGCCGTGCCACGGAAAGCACCTAAAAATGGCAACAAATATTTCCCGATTGAAATCGCATACTTCTGCCCTACTTTGCGATTTTTCACAATTTACCACCGACTAATCTATAACAAACGCGAACTGATCGATTAGGAACACGTTGCAATAAGACCGTCAATAATTAATTTGCAACGAATGTGCAACAATTTAACAAGAAATCAGCAAAATTGTGTAAGTCCTTGAAAGGGCAGACTCCGCAGGTGATTTGAAGCAACTTTTTCCTTTGCGAAAATTGCGTCCGAGGAGTCGTTTACGAGATATTTAACGGAGAACGCGGACCAATCAGAGGGCGAGTGCGGAACTGTACGCGAGCGCTGATTGGCTCGCGTTTTTCGTTAATAACTCGTTAACGAAGCCTCGGAGGACATTTTCGCAAAGGAAAAAGTTGCTTCAATTTGTCCAAGGAATCGCCTCAGCTGATTTCTGTAAGGTTTACATGTTTTGGTCGTCATCATGTGACAGAAAGATTTGATCAAATTATTTTTCTAATGAAATGCATAAGTCGCGCAGCCGTGTTAATAGTTATTAAAAATGAACGAAAATTATGGTCACCTTTTTCCATCGACTGTACATAGGAAACGGGACTTCTGACCGCTTTCGGGAGCCTCCCGGCCCACGGCGAGCCTGTGCCTCCCGAGAGCGTTTGCACACGCGTCCCACCCGGTGTAAGCGATCGATCGATCCTCGTGCTCGAAGGGCGTCGAGCGTTCTCGACCGATCCGCAAAAACCCGTATCGCGGTGCCGGCGTTGCTTTTACATGTTCTAATAAAAGTTGTCCGCCCGAAACTGGGTCATAAAAGCCTCGCAGCTGATCCATACAGCCGGCCCGGCGAAAATTGTAACACGCCCCGCTGTTTCGTCGGCGATTGTTCCTCGAACTGTGAGAACCCCCGCGGAAAATCCCCGGGAAACACAGCCGTGTTTCATTCACGAAATCAACGGTCCCTTTCCAGCCTCTTCGCGCGAGCGCGATCCTCGTTTACTCTTCTTAGGCTATCGCGCATTCCAAAGGTCCCGGTCCGGTTGTCTGCTGCTATAACACTGTACCGCATATCCTTGACCGTCCACTTTTTTGATCGCTTAACGCTACCTTATATCACTCTTTGAAGAGATATTAATACCTTTTTAAAAACTTTAATTCTTTTTTATTTCGTTATATAATTGTTGTCAGAATCATCTTATTGTCAGTTTTGGAAACATCGAATGTTTTTTTAAAAAGCGTAGATAGTGTGTTAAAATATTTATATTTATATAGTTTTCTTTTCTGTCGTATTTATTTATATTTACATTTATTCTATTTTCAATATACATTAGGACAAAATTTCGTAAAAATAATATTTCATTAGTTTCGAAAACGAAATTATTATTGGGAAAATAGAACTTTAAATGTATTTTTCTTTAAACTTTATTATTTAGGCATATAGTGGTGTGAAGAATTATAGACACAAACTAACTTTTTACAATTTTAGTGATGTTCAAACAAAAACTTAACGATATGTGATATTCGTATATTTCTATTATCCAACATTTTATTTTCTATTATCCAAATACAGTTTTCTTGCTTGGTTTTTGTTCAAATATACATAAAAAGTATACAA